TTCCTAATATGACATTTCATATTTATATATAATATGTATATATATTTATAAATATATTACATTTCTATCTTTCATATATATGTATATATATGTATACATACATATATAATTTTTATAAATTATATTCTAGAAAGGAAAGGTACCACGATCGATAGTCACGTGTGACTCTACTTAGAGCACTATATTGCAACAATATTTTAATTCTCTTTTATCATCTTAATTTATGTAATATATAATATATATATATTTATATATTTATAACTTTATATACCACTTCATTTGCTATTTACGTACATTAACTTGACACGTCAAAAAAATACGCGGTTTTACCTCCTGTTGGCTATAATCTCGCGTATCCACCGATAAACTAACATCTTTCCTCGTTTTTTTTAACGAACGCGTCACGCATCCGTACAAACAGGAATTCGTTAAAACGAACGGATCCGTTAAAACGAAACGAGTAAAATATTTCATCGATGACGCATAATTTTTTCTCTTTTTGCTTAGAATACTCCTTGCTATCCATTTAACACAATTGACTAGCAATTACAAAAATCTCACGACGAAAATTGTTTATAGGCTTAGAAGATTAACGCTTGACAAGAGTACTATCGTCTGTCATAGGTTTATTTCTAACATACTACAATATTTTTTTTTTTTTTACTAAATATATACTTATTTGTATTTTTCACTTCATTCCTTTTTTTTTTTTTATTCTTTTTTATATAATCTGATTTTTTGCTTGCTTTATTTTTCTTTCCTTTTTTTCATTAAATGATTTTCAAATATTACATTGCTTACACGTCACGAAAATGACGATAGATCGATGACGATAGTTCTCTTCAAGAATTGAAAAAATTGATACTCAACAGAAATTAATCTTAATAATTATATATCCGTTAAATATATAATGTAATTTTCACGCACATAAAAATACTTTTTTTTTTGTTGTGACAAAAATATAAACGATTTGTTACATGATATAAAATAAATTTTGTAAAATACAATCATTAGAAAAATTTATGAAGAAACATAAAAATCAGAAATATATAAAGCGTAGAAAATAAATAGAAAAGAGTTAAATTCAATTGCTATAAATATAAAAATGTTATAATTAAAATGTAAGAACGAAAAAGTTCCGATAAAAAAATCTGTAAAATATTAATGTTTAATGAGAAACTAAAAAAATAGATATGCTATATATTTTTGTTAATTAGCTAACAATCTTAACATTTAATAACGTGGCTTGGCCGCATATGATATTTCAAGAATACTTATACGAAATTAAAACATAAATACTGTGAAACAATTAACATTATAATAAATGAAATGTCACTTATCTCTTTTAAAGAAAAAACATACAATATATAACTTAAAAATAAAAAAAATTTACCTCATTTTTGTCAACTCGATGATCGTGATAACAATAACAATATATATAATGTAAATATTACATTCTTATAATTTTTTTGTTTCGAATATATTCTTTTCTTTCACAATGAGGTTTAAACTTTAATTATTCGATAAGTCTTTCAATGAATATTATTTTTCATTTAATTTCGACGGATCGAAGTTCGCAATATTTTTAACCGAATTGTAATACATTAACCACCAATGGCTTCTTTTCTATACAATCGCAAAATCGAAAGAAACCTTTGGATAATCGATTAACCTTGTTCGACGTATCGATGTGTTTAGGACGGCAATCGTTACATTTTCTCTCTGATTCACACCATTTTCAACGACCATCGAGAATTAATTTTTGTGACAAAAACAAGATATGTATATAAATCAAAAGAAATCGCGATATGATTATCGATACATTGTGCATAAAAATTTTTGATGCACCAGATATAAGACTAAAAAGAAACCTGTCTTACTACGCCTAGTGACGATAAAGTATTTTTTTTTTTTT